GTAACAAAGGTTGTAAAATAGGGCTAAGCTTCCTTAACAGCTGTCTTGCTTAGCAACATAAATTTTTTGCACTCAATTGTGGCCGCACATCGAGGACTTCCTATATTTGATAGCTTCAACCACTTCCTCTTCCTCCTCCCCTTGTAGTAACAGATTTATTAGTTCTCTCTTTCACGTTGTACAACAATTCAGAAATTGCTTCTCGCTTCCCATAGGTTTTCCCAGAGAGTTCTTTATTTTCTGATGTTTTAACTTGGGAGATGCTAATCAGGATTTAGGGATGCATAAGGAATCAGTTTAGAGGAAGTCAGGCCAGGTAGAGTCACACCTTTCCTGCTTCAGATCCTGATTGGTAGATGTTTTCCCCACCTGTTGGCTGGTGAGGTAGGACGCAGCATTCACAAATGAAAGCAACACATTACAAATAAAAGCAAAAAAACAACAACAACCATGCCTGAGGTAACTTCATCTAATAAAAACAATCAAGACACAAAACCTCTCAACCCAGATCCTGGAGGAAAAGTCTTCTGAAAGGTTGGGGCCCTATGAATCTCCTGGAGGATGCTATTTTGTAGGACAGGCAAGCAATAGAGAAGGCATATCTCCTCGGTCCTGCCAAGTGTTAGTGCTCAAATGATAGGATCCCAATTTTATTGGAAAGGCAGAAATTACTGGAAACAAGCAGTTCCCCCAACAACCAAGTTTTGCACCATGAAGGACTTTATAAGTCACAACCAGCAATTTAGAATTACACCCAGAAGTCTCTTGATAACCTGCGCAGCTCTTGAATTATCGGTGAACAAAGGTGCCCACAACTTCTTGTATTGCTGAATTCTGGACCAGCTATAACTTCTGAGTCGTTTTCAAGTTCAGCCTTGAAATACAAGTCCCATATAGCAGGGCTTTTCAACCTTTTCACCCATTGTACCACTTTTAGGATATGGCAATATCCGAGTACCACCAGTCACCTAGCAAGATGTCAAAAACTTGATGACCAAAAACAAAAAAAAGGAAAAAAGTGATAAAGTACAGGTAGTCCTCGACTTACAACAGTTCGCTTAGTGACTGTTCGAAGTTACAATGGCACTGAAAAAAGTGCGCCCCAAGCCACAGCCGAGCAAGACACCTGCCTGCCCACCTGGTGGCGCTCTTCCTCCTGTCCGAGGTTTTCATTGTTGTGAGCATTTCTGTTGAGGATTGGCAGTGGGGGTGGGGTGGGGGGGTGTTTGGTTTTTATTCCCCCCGTCTGCTTGGTGGTTGCAGCAGGTTTTGGTCACTTCACATGACCCTGGGACACTGTGACCG